ATGCTGTATTTATCTTCGAATGCTTCTTCCACTTTTTATAGTATCGATAACGATAATTGTTTCGTCTTGTTACGATTCTTTATCTCGAACAAGTTATTACGATGTTATTTTCCTTAGAATGTAAAGTATCGAAGTGGTATTGGTCGTTGATAAATGCTATGTAATATCGAGTATGTGTATTGTGCATGATCAATATATATCGCATGATATAAAGTAATCTAGTTGAAAAATTCCGAATTCTCGTATATTCTGTATTTAGTTTAGCTGTGCGTTAAAAATTGAATTATCATCGATGATTTGTATGCAAAGAAGAACCAAGATGTCAAGAATATAAAGAAATAAATGGTTTATCAGTGATTGATTGCTTGCTTGTTTGGTATTCGGATCATTGCGGCAGAGTATCATAAAGTGCAAAGTGTATGTAATAAAAAAATTATACAGCTTTGCAAGCAAATTAACAATACTTCAGATTGTAGTGAATAAATTGATCGTTATATGATACCTTTTGTAGTGCTTATTCAAGATTATAAATAATAAAATTTGTATCTATATATTTCAGATAATATTATGCAGTTGAAATAATAATTTTTATTACGGGTATTTCTGTTCATTTCTAAGGATAGTAGATAGATAATTAAAATATCAAAAACGTTTAAAAAATGTTATAAATAATCAAAGGTTCCTGTTCATCGAATAAGTGATCTTAAATATCTGAGCATTAAGATAATTGAGAAATTCCACTTTCGATTTCGTTTTTCCAAACCCACGTACTTCATCTTCCGTATGATTACCTCTATCAGTGGAGCTGTTGAGATCATAAAGCATCTTTCGTTGTAATTTTAATATACCAAACTGACTGTCGGTTTTAATTCAGCTCACTTAGAAAATTGTGCTTCACTTTGATCACGTGAAAGATTTAAATTTGAAGCGACGTGAAACTCAAACATGCAAAGTGTATTCCCTCTAAAGTATCCTGAAAACTACGCGAGGGAGAAGAATCAACCTATTTATTTGTTCAGTCGGAATTCGATTCAAGTTCCTCCAATTTCCACACCACTGGTCTAATCAATTGAGCTTCTCCGACCGCAAATAAGTTCTTTCTTCTTAGATTTAGCACTTAAATATACCATCTAGAATAGATCAGAAAATCGGGGTTAATTTAGAATTGCAGGATTTTGTTTTATGTAACTTTAAATTATTTCTGATATGCTATAAACACTCTAATTTGTATGGAAATTAATCAAAATATATTCAATGTTTTCTGTCAGATACTTCATATTTATTATAAATTATAATCAGTTATTGTAATTTATTTTAATTTCGCTTTTAATTTATCTTAGTTAATATAAATTTACCTCAATTTTAATTTCAGTTTCGATCTCAGTTTTCGTAATTACTGTCGACGCTTATTTTTACTTGATTTTAAATAGCCTCTAATTTATCTCAGTTTCGACGATTTTTCTCAGCTGTGCCCGTGTCTCTGCTGAATTTTAAGTTCCCCCTAAATCTCTCTGTTCATCTGAAATTTACTTGAAATTAATTTATTTTACATCCAGGGTATTTCACTTTAAATTTAAGCTCACCACAGTAAAAAGAATGACTTAAAACTTACAGCAGTCACAGTTACACACGCTGACGCAGCAGATTTTCATCGAAATCTGGTAACGCATTATTTATCCTGCAATATATCAGTATTCTCGTGACTCGTCGTCGATCATTGACGAACAGCGCGTCAGTCCATGCCCATCAAGAGAATATCGTATACGGGAATGCATCAAAGAAATAAACAGCCACGATAAGCCAGGGATATCAGGTTAATATTTCCAGCTGAGGAAGCGGATTTAATCGTTGAGACGTGCAACAGCGATCCTCGCTACGAAAAAAAGAATTTTATTTATCCACGTTAAAATTCAAATGTTTTTCTATCAGAACCTAACCTCTAATTTCTGCTTTTAATTCATCACACGATGTAAACACTTTATGATATTATTCTTTCCACCTTTTCCACATTTTCGTCCATTCGATTTTTGTTTTCATTTACGAGCAGGATCCTGAAAAAGATATCTAGAGACTAAATTTATTCAAGGTAAAATTGATCGAGAATGTCAATTAACTAGCCGTGGGATGAAATATCATCCAAGCGATACGAATATGGAATATAACGAGGAAACCTCCAAGCTGAATATTCCTTTTTCACTTTATCTATTCCAAAAATCTCTTCTTCCATTCCACGTCATTGAGAAACATACTTGTAAAATTTAATCATAACATTAGCCGCATAAAACAACAAGTGACGTACGAAAAACACGAAGTCGTATGCGTTAATAGGTTAAAATGTAGCTACGCGAAAATGATTTCGCGAGTACGGCCACGTTTTCACGTCAAATTTCAGCGTATAAGTTGTTTAATAAATACGTCAATCTTTTATGCGCGTAAAATAACGTTCGACCGTGATGAAAACAGAGAAGGGCTGTTGCTTGCAATCAGAGAACGAATTCTGACATTTCGTGGCGTTGCAATCGTATGCGTTCGACACTTTTAGCGAGGAAAAGTTTATTTTACAAAATAGTCAACAGCGAATCGAGTAGAGCGTATACTGCACACATGACCGGTGCTTCGATATTCTAAACGTGGCAAGAACGTGCAGAATTCGAATCTTTTATTTTTCACGTTCCGAAAACTGCAAACGAGACGTCGCGAATAGAAATTGGATACTTGACCACGTGGTCGACATGAAAGCCTACTTCTTCACAAAGGATGTATAGTTTGTTACAGCCTTCCTCCGCCTGCCACTAGAGGGATGCGAGCCTAATAAGATTTCTCGAAAGTTGTAGTCCTCTCTTTTGTATTGGCAGATCTTCTGACTTAGCCTTCACTAATGACCACGGTTAATGCGTGGTATTGTTAGGAAGCTGTAACGATGTGTCCGGTAGAACACGCTTCTGAACGTGAAATGTCAACACCATCTTAGTTTACTTTTTCTCTTGTGTGACTCATTGTTGTTAGTAAAATATTTGTCGTATTGTTAATTTAGTGTAATCAAGAAACGTATTAAAGGTTAAGTGTTAACAATAATTGGTTTCATGCCGTGGTGTATTATATTTATGGATGTGTGATGTCATGTTTTCATTTTACAACGTTAAATAATAACGAAAATATTTTTAACGTGATGTTTTTAAAATTATTTGTACCGCGATAACAGTGTTAATTCGTGCAATCGTTGATAAATGATGGTTTAAAGACTCATTTTTATATCTCTCTAATCCATATGACAACGTCGTTTATCAAAAAGAATCCTTAAATTCAACAAATCGAAGGATTATAAAAGTATTGTATCATATTTGTCCAAAGCAAAGAAAGAGGTTAAAAAAACTTAGAATGAGTCACGGAGATGAATTGCACGAGCGGGTTCGATTGTGGACACAATTGAAATGTAAATAACGAAGCACATTTTACGTAACCCCATGGAAGATTGTGCACGTCTCTTCGTAAATTGTGTTAAATTGTAACGACTTAAGGTCAGTGTTGTAATTCTCGTTCAGATTAATTTCCAACCATCATGGTCGATTGGGGAGCGTGAGATTTACCAAAAGAAAAGAAAATTACCAGTTCAGTGTTCGTGGAATTATATATGGGTCGTGTTAATCCGAACTTATACATCCAATGAATTATGATATATGAAAGTATCGAGACGTGATATTTGCATTATAATTTAAACGCGAAACATGACAAAAGATCTTTTAAAATAGAAGGTATATAATATACAATTATCATATCATATACCAATTACGTTTCGTAATAAAATAACTTTGAATTTCTTTACTTTATATCGTGGTTAAATATATTTTTATGCTAGTAATAAATATATTTCTATGGTAATATACATTTTTTTTAGAAAGATAATTATTATAAAATGGAAATATTATTTAAATGAATAGAATTTAATCGAATTTAATCGAAAAAATTTAATGCATCTGTGAAAGATGACAGGTTTATAAAGTGTCTTCCTGCATTACCCACAGATGGAGTTGGTGATCCTTTATCGACAATGGCGCTCATTCATAGAATAAGTTGAAAAATATATAAAATAGAAGAACCAGACAAGTTGCTTTTCCATTTTTAAATAACTCATCTTGTGAAACACCAGACAGTTTTTCATTTTTGAATAAATTAACGCACATTCAGGATCTCATTTGTCTTTTCCGCCTTCGCATCCTTGTTATTTTTAAAAGCACAAAGTAAGTTTGATAAAATATTATAATAAACAATTTTGACTTCTAAATTTCATTCTTTTCATATTTTCAAGATAATCAACATTTTGTATATGTATATCAATGATATACTTTCGTTTCCACATTATTGAGGCTTTATAAATTATATATTTAATTGTGCATAATTTTTTATGCTCTAGATAACCTTGGATAATGGTAAAATATATCGGCCATGTTCAAAACTTACGAAATGGAACTTCAGGAACGTACATCATTGTTGGTTAAAAGATTTTTTCTTATATAATTAGACTATCTTTTTTTTCCAAATTTTTGTGGGCCACTAAAAATAACAGAGATGTAAAGGCTGACAAGATAAATGGAATGAGAAAAAAGCTACTACTGAAGAAGCATTTCTTTGCCTCGGATATGCAACGTGTTAACTGATCGCTATCTCCGGCGACGCCAAGTAAACTACGAATGATTTTCCTTTCTTTTCTGTAAATTACTTTAATACTTTATTTTAACACTTTTGCTAATATTAATTTTCTACAATCTAAAAACAGTATATTTATTAATATATTATGTTGATATCTTATTTATATAATACATAAAATTTTGTATTTCTAATTTATTCTTTTTTTTTTATTCAAACTTAAATTATATTTTTATTGTTTATATATTTATAATATATCAGACACTCGGTTCCTATATATTAATTGCAATCTGCATTGCATTAAAGTAACAAGGTTAATTTTAAATTTGAGGTTAATTTTGAATTGCAAATTACAGGCGCACTCAGAAGGAGCTCATTGGATCCTGGTGCCAGAAGATTCTCTTTGGGTACACCTGCGATCCCTCATAGAGCGTCAGATGCATGTCTGGACCCTGTGCATGCCGCGATCCTCTTCAGGGACGCCAGAGGAGTAAGTGTTAATTTTAATTTTCAATTAACTTTCAAGGTTTTTTAATTTGATTAGTGCCTCTTGACGCTGGTTTTTGTAATCAGCAGTCTGACAAGACGTCGTTAGGTTCCGTGTTATTAGAGAAAGTCATATACAGAGTGTTCCATATAACGGGAGAGTGAAATATTATAAAATATTTTTATCGTTATTGAAACTATAGGAAAGTATATTAATATGTGTTATAATAGACATGTATATACATTTATAATTTTATTAGCTATCTTTGTATTATCTTTTTCTCAAAGTTAATTTATCGTAGTCGAATTTAGTTACTTCTCAATTATAATTTACTATATTTTAATAATTAATATGGTAGGATCGATAGTATCTGATAGAACATATATTATAATTATAAAAATTTTCATTACAGGTTTTTGAAATTTTAATGTCTCTGTGTTTCTGAAAGAGAAGAAAGGTATTTATTATATTCTCGTAGAATATAAAGAGTGAAAAGTTTATTAATATGGAATATCTTGTTGAGGAAAGGAAAGTGTAATATTTCGTCTGAAAGCGAAAGCGAATGAAGCTTATGAGCCTTAGCGCGTGAATTATGTATATATATCTGTAGAATCATTCTTATTGTAGCGCCTGAAAGTCCAAAAGAATCCTATATTCATCGCGTTAAGAAAATTTATTGAATTAAATGACAACACTTTGCATAATATTTTTCAATCAAATGAAAAGGAATGAAGCTTCTGATATGAAGATTTATGATTTTATACACTTTGCTTTTCTATAGAATTTAATACCTTCATTAAAATGAAAGAAGAAATTTTGAATATCATTTAGCCAATTAAATGGAACACCCTGTATATATCTGAAAACGAATCTCAAAGTGTATTGACTTCTTTGTTTCGGTAGACTTTAGCTATCTATAATAAATATTTATATTTTCGTATTTTTAAATCAGCTTCAATGTAAAATGACTAGTGTAAACACAGCGATATATACAAATATCTCTTTTACTTTTTTCTCTTTAACTTTGTTGATAGCAGGCTCCTTGGTGCGTTAAATTTTTGTGTTATCTTGCATTCCGTGTGATATAGCAACTTTGTATTTGCAAAACTCGACGATATACAATATCTTCATAGTATTGCACATCCCTAACGTTCGTACTGTATGATTTTCACGCGAGCTCTTTGATCAGTAACGAGCGAAACACAAACAAGACATGTGTACTCTTTTATTTCTTTACGTTTTCCCCCTAACGACTTATTGTGTGTGCACCATTTGTATATATCGATTCGTCGAAACGCGAAAGAAACAATCTAGGTCATGATGAAAGCTCGAAACATAAGAGAGAGGGAAATTCAGTCGAATCTCATAGAAAAGAAATGACGTTCTTATAGTCGCTTTATCACATTGGGAAAATATGTCGAGGTTACCCCGTTCTTTATGCAGTTAGTTACATGCCACTACGATGTACTCATAGGTAAAAAGATCCAATTTGATAACGTGCTCGTTAATTATTTTTTTTTTTATGCCACTTACATACATCAACGATTTAGGGCAATTCTGTTGGTAAGCAGTATTCGACAGTCGGTAAAATTGAATATCTACAATTATTTACCGTCGGTCAGTTGCTTTTCCACATTACCGACACTAACTCTCTTTTATCGACGGTTGATGTTCTTCAAGTAGATTACAAATTTTGTCTTTCCATAAGATGGTATACAATAAACATTAACAATAATTTTTATATTATTTACATGTTTTATGTTGAAACAAATTTCAAGACATTTGATCTAGTTTCGTATTAAATAAGTTGTATAATTCATTATATTCTGATGATATTAGGAACAGTGAAAAGACTGTAAATTATTCCTACATTACCTTGCATTTGCTTAATCGAGTTTCCTTGGATATTCTTCCAATGTAAATCTTCCTGTACTGATTTCCTTTAATTTTTCGTAGTTAGGGTCTATTTATTTTCATAAACCCTTTATGAAAATAAACCCAATCCAATATTTCTTCATCTTGTATTTCTTTTTCCTCCAACAATTTAAATTTCACTTATATTCACAAAACCTGTTTTATCCCAGAGTTTGATGTAACATACAATTAATCTATAACATACCTACAGTATAGAAAACAATTATACCAACACATGTCTCATATTCACCATATTAATCCATAATCCTTTTACGCTTCTATATGCTGTTTATCCCTTTACACTGAAAAAGAACAAGAAAATATTAATCTCGCATTGAAAATCATCTAAACATCTACTCATTTAATACTTTTATTAATACTGTGCACTGTGCAATATCACAGCAAATTTTCAATAATAATTTTCCTAAAAATTATTTGTTATAAATTAAATTAAAATTTAATTGAGTATATTTAATAATAGATTTTAATAATTAATTTACAATTTACAATAAATTAAAATATATATATTTTATAACAATTCTACAATTAATAACAAATTAACATTAAATTCGAATATAAATCTAATCCAATCTCCATTTAAATCTGTTGTGAAACAAAACTTTTTAAAACGCGTTGCTAAAAAAATGTAGAAAATAAGATACGTTACCAGATAGTTAGCGATGCATAATGTATATTGAAACTTGTGACTCATACATAGCGAATACGATCCGATGCTAAAACAAGTATTTACACGTAACTTAAAATTATTCGCAAAGTGCAAATTTCCCCATCATTTCAAAATATTGACCTCATGAAATTTTTCATTTTGTAAATATTTTTACTGCCAGTCATCTCGCGGTTTAAGAATCACGTGCACAAATTTACATATTCCTACACGTGTTTCGCGAACAGGATCCGTTTCAATTTTCCTCGAACCAGGGAACAAATTCGAATTGACAGATTTTGGTAAGCTGCCAACAGAGAATGGCAGCGTTCGTTGAAACTTCATAAATTTGTGTCAGTTACATTCCCAAAAAAATTTTTTTTCCTTTTTCGACCATTTTTTTCTCCATTTCATCAGAACCTTGAATTTCTCAGACGCGAGAAGTATCTCGTTATATTTATTTACGTGAGCAGCATTTCAACGAGTATTTATGTTTTCATTCAACAAGTGAAGAGTGTGTGTTAGTGGTGGATGAAATATTAATAACAATAAGAACAATTCTTTATTTAATTACAAAAATTACTAAACACATATATTAACCCTTTGCACTCGAGGCGCCCTTCAGTCGTCATTTGATAAAATTTCGAAGCTCGATATTAATTAATATATCAGATTTAAAATAATGTAACAGTGTGCGGGGTATCGAAATTAAATAATTCTACGCGTAGCGGCGAAGTTCTCAAGCTCGCCGCTAGATGGATTCCTACTTGAAGGAGGTCCGCGGACTTTCTCACAAGTCCTCGGCGAAGCCTGATCTCCCTTATATAGAAGTTCCTGTGCTATCTAAGCATCCCAGTCTAAGACAGACCCTTCTAGAAGAAAGCTTTACTGATGAAGTTTACTTAGCCAGGCCCGGGACGAAAACGAATCCTTTCCTATTCCTTATCGTCCTACTATCGTACCCTATCAATAGTAACAACAACCACAGGGAAATACCACCAAAATAGGCCAGCAGCAGCGCACCATTTTTAGGACCCAGACCCCAACATATTAGGAACCACAAAGGAGGAGTAGTTTAAGCTCAGTGCAAAGAAGGTTTATTATAGGACCTATAGAACCCAGACCCCCAACGTTAGGAACCACAAAGAAGTCAGTTCGTATCAAGCCCCCTCCGCTCTCAAGTACATCGAGTCAACTTATCGTACTTACTAAAAATCCTCTTCCTTGGAGAACAGAATATTTGGAGTGGTATCTATCATCCCAAACCCCTGATATACACAATTACGCGTATGTGTTAATTATTATACGATTTGTTATTTACTGTTCAAAAAATATTACCAGCTTTATAGCAGAAAATTTGTCAACTTGTACTCTTCTTTAGCCAAAAAATCGTCGAACGTAAAGGGTTAAGTTTAAATGTATAATTAATTTCTCCCAATCACATATTCACACCTCTTTTCACTATTAAAATTCAATTGCAACTGACCTATGCCAAATCACTCTCGTTTTGTTCTTTCTTCTCTCATACATTACATGGGCATACACAATTCACACAACACTCAACCATTACAGGCATACTCATTTATCACGAATTTATGAATTCGTTAGATATTGCCATCCCATGCATACTTGTTCCTACTCGTCCCTTTCTTACAGACATCGCTCCTTTATTATATCAACACATATATATATATTTAAAATCTATGTTAACCATTACCACAGAGTGTGCTTGCCGAAAGAGTAGCATAATTTTAAGCGCAGAGTGGCGATCAAGGATTCAACGATTTCTTAAATTGCATTCTTGGAGCTTTGTCAAGAATGCGTGGCAGAAAGTGTGTGAAAATTCGAAACGAACGATATATAAATTTACAAATAGTTTCGGCAAATACCGTGGAATGATACAGAATATATATTCTTCACTCTCTCTTTCGCTTTCTCCTCTTTGCTTTGTATTCTTATTTATATTCAACGATTCGAATTCCTAAGATTTTTTCTCAATTTCTTCTTTCCTCGAGCTTATAGAGTTTCTTATTTATTCAAAGTGTTGTTCTCCAAGCTGCGACTACTCCTGGAATTTTACCAACTTTCATTATTGTGCGTTTAAGTGCATTTAAATAGCAGTCTACGTCGTTGATTATATTTATTTTATTATTTATTAACGTAGGATGACGAAAAGTGGTTTTGAGACATGAAAAACTGACAGAACAAGGACAGAATAACACAAACTCGAAACTCATAAAACTATTTTAACTTAGGAAACGAAGACCAAGTATAATATAACGAAAACACACAAAGATGCACTCTAATTTAACTGTCTTTCCAACACCTAGCGACTCACGCTCGTGTCGGTCACAATTAATTTCTAAGGACTCTGTTTTATTCGGCAAGGGGCCTGGTTTTATGTTTTTCTTAACACGTTAGTGTT